GTGTCCCTGTAACACTTAAAATTATTTCATGTAAAGGGGGCATTGGTTCTCCTGTTGGGGAAAAGAGATCAAGGTCTTAAATGTATTCTGTGAAAATATCCTAGACTCCTTTTTCAGAAAATATCAGTGAAAAAGTCTTGTTTGGAAGTAGAGAAAGCATAGGGGTGAAGAGTATGAACTTTGGCTTAGACTGCCTGGGTTTAAATTCTGACTCTACCACTTACTAAATAATACTAGACATTATTATCATCCCCATTTCACAGATGAGGAAACTGAGGTACAGAGCATTTATCTGCCCAAGGCCATAGAGCTGAAATGTGGGAGCAGAGGGAGGGAGGGGAAAATGAGAGAGATGAGATCTGATCTCTAGATGAGATCAGAAAGATACAGGGGTCTTCTAGGCCACTATAAAGAATTAAGTTTTGGCCGAAACCGGTTTGGCTCAGTGGATAGAGCATCGGCCTGTGGACTGAAAGGTCCCAGGTTCGATTCCGGTCAAGGGCATGTACCTGGGTTGCGGGCACATCCCCAGTGGGAGATGTGCAGGAGGCAGCTGATCAATGTTTCTCTCTCATCGATGTTTCTAACTTTCTATCTCTCTCCCTTCCTCTCTGTGAAAAATCAATAAAATATATTTTAAAAAAAAGAATTAAATTTTGGTCTCATGCATAGAATATAATGAATGACTTTTGTCTTTTCTTCCTACTTCAGGCTTGTGATGTCCCTATTGAGGAGGGTCCAGTCCCCAGAACTGGGGCAAAAGGGCCCATTATGTCCATCTACTTCCGAGACCCTGACGGAAACCTGATTGAAGTGTCCAACTATATTTCCCCGTGATTGAAACTCGCCCTCCTCCATTTTGTTCCCTGAAGTGTTACCCATTTTCTTCCTTCCTCCAGACCCTCACCAGACCCAGAGGCCTCCAAGAACTGATGACTTCGGCACTTCACACATCCTGCTGGGGGAACCTGAGATGGGTTTGCGACCAAACCTACGTGACTGAATGTTCTCCTTCCAAGCTGCCCAATAAATTAATAAGCTCTCAATTAATATAAGCTCTTTGTTATTATTGTCTCGGCATTACATATGTGTGTTTGTCTAGCGCATAAGGCCTCTGAGCTGTTTGGGGAACAGAGACTAGGGTACGACATCTCTGACAACCAGGGCCAGGTCCTTGGGATTCAAGGTCTCCCGCAGATTTCTCCTTGCCCATGAACCCATCTTTTTTTATCCTTTTAGACTCATCTCACTCCTTCCAGGTGATGCCTGATGTTTCCACCTCAGAAGCCTCACTGAACCCCAAGATCTCTATGATGGGGCCTTCAAGGAGCATCCCAGATACCACCTCCTCTTGGTGTGCCTTATCTGATCTCACCCCCAGGGGATGTGGAACTTTCTATTTTTGGATCTAGTAAGTCCGAACTCATCTCAGTTGAGGCTCAGCTCCTGACATATATTGAGCACCTCTGTGTGCTTGGCCCTGTTCCAGGCTTTGGAGAGACAGCATTGAACCGAAGAGATAAGCAAACCTTTGTTTAGAGAGCTACCATTCTAGTGGGAGAGATACAAAATAAATAAAATTAAGTAAGGAAAATACTAAGTATGTTATAGGATGATAAATACTTTGGAGGAAAAGAAAACAGGGGAAAAAGGGACCTCAGATAAAAATCACTGTGGCAGTTTCCAATGTGTAGTAGGATGGTCAGGGAAAACCTGACTAAGAAGGAGATATCTGAGCACAGGCCTGCAGAGATGAGGGGGACGCTGCACTGACGGCTGGAAGAAGAGCATACCAGGCAGAGGCCCTAAAGCCAGTGCAAAGGCCCTAAAGCATGAATGTGCCTGGTGTGTGTGAGGAACAGCAGGAGACCAGTGAGGAGGAAGAAGGAGCAATGAGTGACAGACGGGATGAGTTCCTCAAGAGAGAAAATGCCAACTAGAGAAGAGGCCTAGAGACATTTAGAGTTAGAAACAAGGGGAAGAACCAGCACATGAGGTAGGCATAGAGGGAAGGGAAGAGTATGGCTTCTTGAATGAATGAGTGATGGATGAAGGAGTTTGTATGAGAGTCTATTTGAGGTGAGGGAGTCCCTAGTCTTGTGGACTCTGGTCTCTAAACAGTCCCCACCCAGATGGTAATTCAACCAAGACCTATGAGTGAACTCTCAGGGAGCCCCAAAAATGCTGGGAAGAGAGGATGTGTAAGGATGTGTGCTTCAGCACATGAAAGGCTTTGCCAAAAGCTGTAGCAGGTTTCCTGCCTATTTTTAAAAGACAGCTTGCTTTGAATCCAGATATAATGTGCCTGGAGATAGATGACTTAGGAAGGAAGGAAGGAAGGAAGGAAGGAAGGAAGGAAGGAAGGAAGGAAGGAAGGAAGGAAGGAAGGAAGGAAAGGAAGGAGGGAGGGAGGGAGGGAGGGAAGGAAGGAAAGGGAGACAGGGAGGGAGGGAAGGAGGGAGGGGTGAGCAGCAGATGGGTGGATGAATGAATGTTTAGCTGGGTGGGTGGATGGATAGTTCGGTGGGTGGGTAGATGGATAGATGGACTGATATCTCCCGCCCCTGGAGAAACTCTTTCACATGTTTGTGCTCAGAAAGAATATGATTTTGTAAATTCCAGATTTGCTGTAATAGGGAAAACACTAGAAACAGCCCAAATGTCCATCAGCAGATGAACTGTTAAACAAACCATGGTATGTCCATTACATGAACTACTTCTCAGTAATAAAAGGGAATAATGTCATGAGGCCAGCACTGACCTGATATTAAAACTAAATAAAGACATAACAAGAAAACTACAGACCAATATGTCATGAATATAAATGCAAAAATCCTCAATAAAATACTAGTAAATAGAATTCAGCAACATATAAAAGGATTTTACAGCATAATCAGGAATGCAAGATTGGTTCAACATATAAAAATCAATCAAGGTAAATACACCAGATTAATAGAATAAGGTACAAAAACTATGTAATTTCAATAGATGCATAAAAAAACCTTTTTTTATAAAATTCAACACCCTTTCATGATAAAAACACTTAACAAACCAGGAACATAAGATAACTTCCTCAATCTGATAAAGGGCATCTACAAAAAGCCTACAGCTAACCTCACACTTAATGGTGAAGACAGAAAGCTTTCTCCCAAAGATCAGAAACAAGTCAAGGATGCTTCCTCTCACCACTTCTATTCAACATTGTACTGTAGGTTCTAGTCAAGGCAATTAGGTAAGAAAAAAAAAGTCATTCATATTGGAAAAAAGAAGTAAAACTATCTCTATTTGCATATGACATTTTTGTACACAGAAAATCTAAAGAACCTACAACAAAACCATTATATATACTATATGCATATACATGTACATGTACATACATATATACACATGTGAACTCAACAAGGTTACAGGATATAAGATCACTCAAAACTTAATCAAGTTTCTATACATTAGCAATGAGTAATCCAAAACTGAAATTAAGAAAACAATTCTATTTACAATAGCATCAAAAACAATTAGTATGCCCTAGCCGGCTTGGCTCAGTGGATAAAGCACCAGCCTGCGGACTGAAGGGTCCCAGGTTCGATTCCGGCCAAGGGCACATGCCTGGGTTGCGGGCTCAATCCCCAGTGGGGGTGTGCAGGAAGCAGCCGATCAATGGTTCTCTCTCATCACTGATGTTTCTATCTCTTTTCCTCTCTCTTCCTCTCTGAAATCAGTAAAAATATATTTAATTTTTTTAAGAAAATAAACATATGAAAAATAAAATTTTAAAAAATAAATCAAAGACCTAAAACCATAAAACTCTTATAAGAAAACTTATGTATAAACCTTTGTAACCTTGCATTAGGCAATGGTTTCTTAAATATGACACCTAAAACATAAGCAACCAAAGAAAATGTAAATAAATTGAGCTTTGTTAAAACTAAAAACTTTTGTGCTTCAAATGTAACTCTCAAGAAAATGAAGTCAACCCACAAACAGGAAAAAATACTTGCAAATCACATATCCATAAGAGTCTAGCATCCAGAATATACAAAGAACTCTTAGAACTCAACAACAGAAAAACAAATAACCCAATTAAAAATGGGCAAATAATTTGAACAGACATTTCTCTAAGGAAGATGTGCAAATGGTGAACAACCACATGAAAAAGAGCTCAACATCATAAGTCATGAGGAAAATGCAAATCAAAACTACATTGAGTCCTGCCGGTGTGGCTCAGTGGTTGTGTCGAGCAAGTGTGGGTTGCCGGCTCAGTCCCCAGTAGGGAGTGTGCAGGAGGCAGCCAATTGATGACTCTCTTCCATCATTGATGTTTCTATCTCTCTCTCCCTCTCCCTTCCTCTCTGAAGTCAATAAAAATATATTTTAAAAACAAAAAACTATAATAAAATAGCACATCACACCTGCCAAGATGGCTAGAATAAAAAAGCAGAACAAGCCCTAGCTGGTTTGGCTCAGTGGATAGATCATCGGCCTGTGGACTGAAGGGTTCCAGGTTCGATTCTGGCCAAGGGCACATGCCTGGGTTGTGGGCTCGATCCTCAGTAGGGGGGGTACAGGAGGCAGCCGATCAATGATTCTCTCTTATCATTGCTGTTTCTCTCTCTCTCCCCCTCTCCCTTCCTCTCTGAAATCAATAAAAATATATTTTTTAAAAAGCAGGACAATATCAAGTGTTGGAAAGGATGTGGATAAATTGGGGCCCTCCTACAGCTTCAGTGGAGAACACTTTTGTAGTTCCTCAAAAAAGTTAAACAGAATTACCTGTAATTCTCTTCCTCATATTGTATGATTCCATTTATATGAAATGTCCAGAACAGGCACATCCATGACAGAAATTAGATTAGTATTCCAGGGACTTGGGGGAAGCAGAAGTGGAATGGGAAATAACTGCTAATGGGTACAGGGCTTCTTTTGGGGGTGATAAAAGTGTTCTAGAATTGATAGTGTTGATAACTGCACAACTGTATGTGAACAGACTAATCACTGATATGTATACTTTAAAAGGGTGAATTTTATGGTATGTGAATTACATCTTAATAAAAAAGAATGAACTATGGATACACACAACAATCTGGATGAACGTCATAGCCATTATGCTGAGCAAATGAAGCACATACTGTATGATTCCATTTATATGAAGTTCAAAAACAAGCCCCCAAGCCCCAGTATCCTATACTGTTTATACATATGTATGAATGGAATAAAAAGCATCATGAGGAAGATAAATACCAAACTCCAGACAGTGGAAGGAGAAAGGGAGATGGAATTGGCACAAGGACTTCAACTGTACTGTAATATTGTTCCTTTTTAAACGTATCTGAAGTAAATAAGGCGGGGTTCTGTCCCTGTCCTGGTGGACTCCACAATTTGCAAGAGGCATGAATAGTCCAAATGCCATGGGCTGGCACCAAGCTCTAGAACCCTGAAAGATGCCAGGAGAGAAGGAACCAGTCAGGGAAGACTTCAAGGAAGAGAGGACGTTGGGGCTGGTCTCAAATGGAGGTCTGACAAAGTGGATGCTTGGCTGGGACACTCCACCCCCACCCTCACCCCCACCTCCCGCCCTGCCCTCGTGGGTCTCCCCCAAAGCCTTGCCTGGCCCCACTGATTCCCTTATCTGCCCACTCCCAGCTGCCTCCCTGCTGGCTGAACTGTAGCCGCAGACTTCTGGGCCTGTGCCCCCTCCACAGGGATGGGGGAGGGAATAGGGTGAGGCCTGGCCTCAGAGCCTTAGAGTTTCTAGCTCTTGATGGAGGCACGGCTCTGAGGCCCCCATTCCCCACCCTTCACTTCCCTTCCTGAGCCCTTTCTCCCTCCAGTTATAAAGAAATGGGCCATGAGTCTAGCAGCCAAATCCTTGTGTGAGATGTGCCACCAGCCTGCCCTTCCCCTGGAAGACAGATTTCCCTACCTCTCCCCCTACCCTGCAACTGCTGTTTCTAATAATACTAACATTGAGGAGAGTTACCTTTACAGAGCTCACCATTTATGGTGTGCCAGGCAGGCCCTGTGTTGAGTGGCATCTCAACAATATTTGATGGGGATTCTATGATTTGCGCCCATTTTCCAGGTGAAGGAACTGGGTTCAGAGTGTGGCTTGCCCTGGAAACATGAGCAAATCAGTGTCAGAACTGAGACAAGAACCTAGGGCTTGGATGAACATCTTCATTTCTCTGTGCCTACTCCAGTCTGGAAGACGGAGGCAATTATATGCCCTTACACACAAGGACCTGAAGAGAATGGGCTACTGTAATGCAGGGAGAGCACTTAGCACAGTGCCTGGGGTGGCTTGGCAAGCATTGTTGCTGTTGTTATTATATTAATGCTAAGAAAAGTATCCAAATCAGTATTATTATCATTATTGTTGGTAGAATTAGGATGAATAATAATCATTAGTTTTAGAAATAGTATTAATAATAGTATTACTGCTAAATTGGAATTAGCATTAGTATTACTACATTATTAAAATTAGTATTAGTGCTAGTATCAATATTAGAATTAGTATTAGTAATTAGAATTGGTATTGGCGTCAGCATATTATTAGCATCAATATTAGAATTAGTAGTAATTCTAATAAAAAAGGTCCAAGTACTATCCCTCATATACAGTAGGTACTCAATAAATAAATAAGAATATTTAAGTTATTGAGATTTCAGATTCAAGTGAGTTAAAATCACTTTAATGGATTCAATCTTGTTTAGTGGCCCCGTCACCCTATGGAGTAGCCACTATTATTACCCCATATTTACAGATGAGGAACTGAGGTCCAGAGCAGAAAGCAACTCACCCAGTGGGTGGCAGGGGGTCTATAAATGAGGGTGGCCTGGCTCCAGAGTGGATGTCCTGAAACCATCTTCACTTAGGTCATTGGGTCTTTTCTTCATTCTTACCAGTGAGGGCTCAACATGGGCGTGGCACAAAGCAGTAGCTCAATAAATTCCAAGTCGTGGTCTTGCTCTCTTTCCTCCTTAAAACTCCCATTTTGCATATGAGAACACTGAGGCCAGAGGGACAAGATGAGGATGGGAAACTCCCTCTGGGGTGGGTCCATGGGTGAGCAGACTCCACTGACCCAGGGCTCCATCTTTGCCCTCTGCCCTCAGTGGGTCTCGGTCTCCCCATCTGTAGAATGAGTGGTCAGGAGAGCTCCCTGCCCCATGGAGTTCTGGGGCCATGACTGGGTAGTCTTACCTGCTTCCCTATGGGGACCCAAGTTGGACACGTACTTTGTGAACTGTGCACATGTGTCCAATGTTTTCATATGGAAAAAGTGCTCAGAACAGGCCAGGCATGAGTCTATGATAGCATGAGACACTGGTTGTTGTCACTGCTGTTACTATTCAGGGGAAGTAGGACAGGGCAAGAAGGTGGGAATTGTGGTGCAGAGGCCCAGCGATTCTCTGAGGGTCCCTCTCAGCAGGTTGAGGGCAGAGCCACAGGCCACATGGGTCCACATCAGTCCACATTCCCGTGACTCACCACCCTCAGCTCCACTTGCCCAGGGTATACCAGGCTGCCACGTGGGGTCCCATGGACTTCTCAGGCTCTCTGTCTCTGAATATCTGTCTATCTCTGTGCCCCTCTCTGTAGCATCGACTTTGTCTTCCTTCTGTTTCTCCACCTGTTGTTGGCCTCTGTCATTTCCAGACTTTATCTTTCCCTTCTGTCCATCTCTGTCTCTCGTTCTCTTTGCTTATCTATCTGTTTTTAACTGTCTCTGGCTCTCTCTCTGTGAATCTCTCTCCCTCTCTCCTTTCCTTCTGTGCCTCCTTCCAGCTCTGTTTCTTTCTTTGTTTATTTCTCTGAGTCTCCCAATTTCCATCTCTATCTGTGTCTCACTCTATCCCTCCAATTTCTCCTTTCCTTCCCCCACCCCATGCCACTCCTCAAGGACCGGCAGAGAAACTAACTCCTAGTTCCACCTGTTTCCCGCCACCAGAGCAGCATGGCGGGCAAGAAGTTGAGGCCGCTGTCCCTGGGTGCCCCCCAGCTCCGCCCCCCATCCCAAGTCAGCCTGTTACCGCGGAGCCAACAGCCACCGTGGCCTCCATCTGATAAGACTTATCTGCTGCCCCAGGACAGGCCAGAGCTGGCGTAAGCCTGAGTAGGGTGCTGAGTGAGTGTGCCCCTGCCTCCCACCAGCCCTGCCCTGGCCCCTGGGCTGGGCCTGGGTCATCAAGATGTCCCATGGGCTCTGGTTGAAATACTACTTAACCTTTCTGAATCTCATTTTTCTTGAGTGCAAAATGGGTACAGTCACTCCCCTCCTATTCCTATGGCCAGTAAGACTCACATACATAAGTGCCCAGCCCACACCTGGCCCAGCACATAGTAGGGGCTTTACACTCACTCACTGAAAAGCCAAGCAGAGTCATGAAACCACATCTGCTATTTTCATTTTATCTTGGCTTCAGCCCATATTGTTTGGTTGGACACTGAAGTCCATGGGAGACCAAGTCAAACAGGGTCCAAGAATCCATGGGGTGAGCAGGTGGGATGGAGGAGGGTCCCCACTGCCCAAGCGGTACCCCACCAGCAGGAGGCCCGCCCCCTCCCCTGGTCTGCCCCACCCACTGCTGCACCAGCCACTCCCTGGGGAGGAGGGAGGAGGGAGAGGGGAGGGAGGGAGAGAAGGAGGAAGGGAGCCTCAAAGGCCAAGGCCAGGCAGGACACCCCCTGGGATCACACTGAGCTCGCCACATCCCCAAAGCAGCTGAACCCTCTGCACCAACCAGCCCAGGTCAGTCTCAGCCCCCCGAGAGTCCCCAGCAAGGCAAACTCCGGGCCTGCTGCCTCTTACCTCAAGGCTATCCCCCTAGCCTGCTTCAGGTTCCCCAACCTACCCCTGGCCCCCAAAGTGTCTACCACCCCTGAATCCCTTGGTAGATCCTCCAGACCACCTCTGCCTTTCCAACCCCCATTCCTATCCCAAACCTACCCCTCTACCCTACTTTCTGCCCTGACTCCCATCTACACCTTCCAAAATACCTACGTTCCTCTGATCCCTAAATGTTCCCCATACCCCATTTCTGCCCCTAAAACAGGTTTTTATCCCCCAAATCCTACTTGTGCCCAAAATCTGATTTTCCCTCACCTGAACTTGTCTCTGTATACAAATTCTCCCCCAAAACTCACTCTCCCACCCCAACTATTTCTGCTCCCCAAGTCCTATCTGCTCTACAACATCCTTGCCTCTGCCCTAATTTCTCCCTTTGACCCCCGTACCTATCTCTGGCCTGCCAAACCCTAGCTCCATCCTCTTACTCCCATCTCTGATTCTCAGACCTTGTATTTGTTCCCAGTGACTTCTCTCTGATCCCCCCAAACCATTTGTCTCCCCCAAATCCTTGCCTGCTCATCAGAATGTCTTTGCCACCCCAAACGCCAAGTCTACTTCTCCAAGTCTGTACTGTCACATTAATTCTTGTGTCTGCCTTCCCTAAACCCCATCTCAGCCCCCAAAAGTTTGGGTCTCTCTGGCCCCAAATCTTTCTCTACTCCAATTTTAGCTCAGTTCTGAAACTCCTACTATGCTCCCATAACCCATCTTTGACCCCTAAACTTCATCTCTGCTCCATTAAAACTCTTGGATTCCCAAACTTTTCCATGACACTCAGAATCCATCTCTGACCCCCAAACTATATCTCTAACTTCTCAACTTTCTCTCAACTTCACCCTGATCCTCAACCTTGTCTCTGTTTCCCCAACCTATTTATGATCCCAAAATGTGACCTTTCAAGGTTGTCTCTGCTCCTCAAACCCCATACCTGCTTTCTAAGGCCCCATAGCTATACCCCAAACCTCTTGGACTCCTCAACCCCTATCTGACCCTCAAACCCTCCCAAGATGCCATCTGCCCTCAGACCCCATCTCTATTCCCTTTAGCCCTGAGGGACCCTCCCTTGAGGGCTGGAATAGGGACGTTACCTGGGGTGAGGGACTGGGCGAGGGGCTGGGCCGAGGGAGAGTTGAGGGTGCCGGCCTGCTGCCTGCTGCCCGTTGGGGCAGCACTTACTCTAGTGGGGCAGCTGATAAGGAGCTTTCATATCCCCCAGCCTTGAGATAAACTTTATCTCTGTCTGGAGAGTGATAACTGGGCGGGGGGGGGGGGGGGCTGGGCCCCTGCCATGAGAGGAGTGGGCAGCCCTAGACCCGCCAAGGTGTCAGATGCAGGGGGGTCAGAGGGGGTCAGAGGGAGGTTATGGGGGAGTGAGGTGAGGATGAGGGAATAAGAGAACAGTGGTGACAGAGGCAAAAAGCAAAAGACACACAGGAAGACAAAGAAAGAAGGGAGGAAGAAACAGAGAGAGATGAGAGGAATAATAGAGAGAAAAGAGAGCAAGAGACAGATATACAGAGAAAGGAGAAGCAGAGACTCAGAAAGAATGAGATAGACAGCAGGAGAGCAGGAGACCCCGGAAACAGAAATGAGAATGAGACAAGAACGGGGGTGGAGGGATAGAGAAAGACTCACAACTAGAATCGTGGAGAGACAGAGATGAAAGAGATGAAGGCTGAAATGAGGAGACAAGACCCCTCCCTAGGGAGAGACCCTGGAGTCTAGGTTGGTTGTGGGCACATCCACAGGGCCATCTCTTTACCAGCATAACCCCCAACCCCGGGCCCAACCCTTCACATAAGAAGGGGGTTTGAAGGGGCCTTCCATTCTATCTCCATCACTCTAGTCTACAGACAGGGACACGAGGCTTTTAGGTTCACAGGACAAGTCACGGTCAAGGGTAGGTTTCCTGGATCTTCATCCGGAGCTGTGTGCAGTGGGGTCTGGTCCGGAATATGGGGATAATAAAACAGATATGGAAATAAGGCCAGAGGGCCCAGAGAGAAAGCAGGGAGAGACAAACAAGCAGAAAGAGACAGAATGTGAAAGATGTAGATATGAGTAGGGAGGGAGAGAGAAGAGAAAAAGATACAAAGAAAACTAAGAAAAGGAGAAACAAAAAGAGATAAAAAGACAGAGAGTCAGCCCTGGCCGCTGTGGCTCAGTTGGCTGAGTTTGTCCCATGTACTGAGGGGTTGCCAGTTCAATTCCCTAGTCAATGTTTCTCTCTCTCTCTCTCTCTCTCTCTCTCTCTCTCTCTCTCTCTCTCTCTCTCTCTCTTATAATTAAAAACATATTTTTAAAAAAGACAGAGATACATCAAACTCAGAGGGAAGGCAGGGGACGGGGCAGTAAGAGATCAACCAAAGGACTTGTATCCATGCATATGAGCATGACCAATAGACAAGGACAGTAGTGGGGTGAGAGCTTGTGCTGGGGGTGGGAGTGGGCAGGGAGAGGTCAATGGGGGGGGGGAAGGAGACTATGTAAAACTTTCAACAATAAAGAATTTTTAAAAAAGACAGAGATAAAGATGGAGAGAAACAATCATAGAGATAGAGATAGAGAAAGACAGACAAAGCGAGAGAAAACCACTAGACATTTATAAAAGTAGAGAAAGAGAGCAATATATATCATGGTAGCATAGAAATGATATGAAATACAGAGAGCAAAGAAACAGTGTTACAGAAAAAGACCCAGGGAGACAGTGATACACACAGAGAAGTATGGTGGCAAAGGGGCATAGACCAAGCTGCCATCTCACAGGTCTTAGCTTGGCCCTGTCACCACCTCCTATCTGGCAAATGGGGAAACTGAGGCCTGAGGATGGTAGGGGCTGAAGGAAGCAGAAAGCAGAACTAGGGCCAGCCTCCCCAGGGAAGTGGGTATGGGTAAAGGGAACACCTCCCACCTGTCCCCCTTCTCAGAGGAAGCCAGTGGCCTTGGGGTGATTTCAAAAGTTGGGCGGGGATGGCAGAGATAAGCAGTGGGAGGTACTGACCCCCCCATCAGGGAGGAACTCTCTCTGCAGACGCAACTGAGGTGGGGGAGGGGGAATCAAACCGGAAACCTTGGGGTTTCTGAGAAAGTCAGAAGGCAAGATGCAGCAGATAGGGATGAAGCTGGGGAGCATAAGAGGGTGAACCCCCAGGTCCAAGGGGGTGACCAAGGGGTTCATGGAATTCTAATTCTACACTCCATCCCACCCAACCCAGACTCCTCTAGAGGGGGAGAGAAGGGAAGATGGGGGCAGGGGAAGAAGAAGAAGAAGAAGAAGAAGAAGAAGAAGAAGAAGAGGAAGAGGAAGAGGAAGAGGAAGAGGAGGACAGGAGGAAAAAATGAGCAGAGAGAAAGAGATGAACAGAAAGAGAGAGAGAGGAGGATGAAGAAAAAGGAGGAGAGGAGAGAGGAGTGGAGGAGATGTAGAAAGGGGGAAAGGGCCGAAACCGGTTTGGCTCAGTGGATAGAGTGTCGGCCTGCGGACTGAAAGGTCCCAGGTTCAATTCCGGTCAGGGGCACATCCCCAGTGGGAGGTGTGCAGGAGGCAGCTGATTGATGTTTCTATCTCATCGATGTTTCTAACTCTCTATCTCTCTCCCTTCCTCTCTGTAAAAAAATCAATAAAATATTTTTTTTAAAAAAAAGAAAGGGGGAAAGGGATAGAAGGTGGTTTAGGGGGAGGAGAGGAGAGAAGGAGGAAGGGATAGAAGGAGAGAAGAGAAAGGGGACCAGGGAGAGAGGATGAGGGGGTAAGGGAGAGGAAGAGGAGGAGGGGAAGGGGGGAGAGTGAGGAGGAAGAAGGAGTGGAAAGAGAAGGAAGAGGGGGAGAGGAGAGAAGAAAGAAGGGAAGTTGAGTGAGAGGAGGGAAAAGAAGAGATGGGAGGGAGGGAGGAGGAAGAGGGAAGAGAAGAAAGGGAGAAGGAGGAAGAAGAGAAGGAAAGGGAGGGAGAAAGAGAAGGGGGTGTAGGAGGGAGAGGAAGAGGGAAGAAGAAAAAACAAATGAGGCAAGAAGGGGAGGAGAATGGGAAAGGAGAGGAGGATGGGGAGTTAGAGGATTGAGAAGAAGACTAGGGAGAGATGAAGTAGGAGTGGTAAGGGAAGAAAGAGAGGAGGGAGGGGGGAAGGGACCTACAGAGATGGAAAGGAGGGATATAGAGATTGAGTGGATGGAGTGGGAGGAGAAAGGAGGAGAGGGTGTGGAGAGGAGAGGAAAGGGGAATGATTTCAGTGTCTGAGGACCCCTCCTGTCCTCACAGGTCAAACCTCAGAGGCCCCATGGAGTTCCCTGGCCTAGGGGCCCTGGGGACCTCTGAGCCCCTACCCCAGTTTGTGGACCCTGCCATGGTGTCCTCACTACCAGAGTCAGGGGTCTTCTTCCCCTCTGGGCCTGAAGGCTTGGATGCAGCAGCTTCCTCCACTGCCCCAAACACCGCCTCGGCTGCAGCTGCTGCACTGGCCTACTACAGGGATGCTGAGGCCTACAGACACTCCCCAGGTAACTCCTTTGGGTGGTTTTTCTGGCATGGGCTCCATGTTGCTGGGGTTGCCACGGAGACCCTTGGCTAGGGTAGAACCGCACAAAGAGGCCATCTTGGAAATGGCCAGAAGCCTTCATGAGGTATGTGGACCACGTTCCCCACTTATGTGCAGACCCGGGACTGTCCATCCCCCTCAACCCGCCACATCGGGAATCAATGTTGTAAGTAGGTGGGGGTGACCCTAGTTGAGTGGCCCATGGGGCTCCACACAGTTATGCTAAAAGCCCATTGGGAAAAGGCTGCTGGTGACTGCAGCTGCCAGAGTGACCAGTGGGGCTCAGACCCAGGAGTCACCCAATGGCCAGCAGCTGCTCTGGCAACCTATGGGAAGGTGGGAAGGTTGGCCACCATGTGGGGCTGTTGGGAATCACTGCACCCTGAAAGCAGGATGGCTTCAGACCTTCTGTCCCCTTCTTCCTTCCTTCCCATACCCACCCCCTAACAGTCTTCCAGGTGTACCCACTGCTCAACTGTATGGAGGGAATCCCAGGGGGCTCACCATACACCAGCTGGGCCTATGGCAAGACGGGGCTCTACCCTCCCTCCACTGTGTGCCCCACCCGTGAGGACTCCCCACCCCAGGCCTCAGAAGATCCGGATGGAAAAGGCAGTTTCCTAGAAACGTTAAAGACAGAGCGACTGAGTCCAGACCTCTTGACACTGGGACCTGCAGTGCCTTCATCCATCCCTGTCCCCAGCACTGCCTATGGGGGCCCTGACTTTCCCAATAACTTCTTTTCTCCCACCGGAAGCCCCCTCAATCCAGCAGCCTATTCCTCCCCCAAGCTTCGTGGAACACTGCCCCTGGCCACCTGTGGTGAGGTTCCCCCAAAGGGATAGGGAGGCTGAGGAGAGGGATGGGGTCCAAGGCAATGTTGGGCTGAACCTGGTTCCCTCTTGCCCCTGTCCACCTCACCAGAGGCGAGGGAGTGTGTGAACTGCGGAGCGACAGCCACTCCACTGTGGCGGCGAGACAGGACAGGCCACTACCTGTGCAATGCCTGTGGCCTCTATCACAAGATGAATGGGCAAAACAGGCCCCTCATCCGGCCCAAAAAGCGCCTGGTAAGACCCCAGGCCCGCCTCCCCTCACCCAGGTACTCTGTTCTCACTCCATGCAGGGATCTCTGCCCTCACACTCTATGAGAACCCACATCCCCCCTCCCTGCCCCATCCACTCAGAGACCCAGCTCTGTACAGGAGTGTCTACCCTCAGCCCACCCTCGGGCTGCAAGCAGGCATGCCGTCCACTCCCTGCACAGCAGTTTTCATCCTTGGCTACACACTGGGATCACCGTGGGGCCCTCCCGAGATGGGTTGATTTACTTGGTCTGGGGTGCTGCCTGGGCATCAGGATTGTTTTCGACTCCCCAAGTGAGTCCAATGTCCGCCAACGCTGAGAACCACTGATGAAGCACTCCACGCCATTTGGAAAGCCCCGGGACAGGAGGCCATGTCCTCGCCCCTCAGAGCACCCTCAGTCTACGCCTTGTCCAGGAAGCCCTGCCTGCACCCTGACCCTCACCTCCTGGGTCCTCCACCCACCAGTGCACTGACCCTCATTTTCTTGCTGCCCCCAGATCGTCAGCAAGCGGGCAGGTACCCAGTGCACCAACTGCCAGACA